CTTGTAATTACTTGAAGATGATGAGGGTGAGAGAGTAAATATGTCATTTTCGAAAAAAAAAATAAAAAAACAAATTGATGGCATTTTCGTGAATTATATGAACTTGTGGGGTGAATTGGACAAAATAAAGTTCCAAAAAAAAAGGAGGTTAGTTTTGTGGTTGACTTCAAGTTTCAGGTCAATTATGCAAAAAGCCCTGAAATATGACCACCAAATGATATTCCTGCAATTTCTTCGTTTTGTTTGCATGGATGAAATATAATACTTTATTATTCCATGTTTTTCTCCCTTCTAAATTCACATGACTCAAATAAATAATATATTTAACTTTTATGTTATTTGATGTTGTAATTTGACGTAATATGAAAGATATTTTGGCATAAAGAAAATAAGTGGTTAGAAGGCAAACTGACCTTTCAACTTGCCCTAGAATCAAATACTTTTGGCTCTTACGAATATTTTTGTGTATTTTTCTTTTGCTGGAAAGATTCCATTTCGACAAATAACTTCCAAAACAAGAGGTCAAGATCAAATATGAAGTTCTAGTATATAGTTTCCGAAGTTATTAAGAGAGATGAAGATGTAATAGTAACTTAGTAACGTAACATGATAAAATGAAGTGTGAATAATTAAACAAATCTGTTTGTTTTCAAAATTTGAAGTAATATTTAGCTTACAAAAGTTATCGTAAATTTTCAAAACCATGATGATTGATAATTCTTTGCTCATACACGCCATAAAGTCGTATTATTCCCAAACATTCCCTGGGAACGGCTTAGATCCAAAGAATATGTGGACGTTCTTTTCCAACTGTCCAAGTCTCCATGGAATAAAATATATCTTCGAGCTAAACTAACAAATTGTGAACAGAACAAAAGCATCAAACAAAATATACACAATCATATATATATATTTTTACTATAAAATTTCTATTGAACTAGTTTATATAAATAAAAAATATGTTATGAACTCAGTGGGCGGCTTGGCTTCTCGTATTATATAAGCAAAGAACTTCGCATCCAGCAAAAGCCAAGAGCGACAAAAAATAAAATCAAATTTAGAGAGCAAAAAATTAAGAAGGTGAGTTTTTGATTCATGGCAGCAATAGATATGTTCAACAGCAACACAGACCTCTCAGATCCTTTCAAAGAAGAGCTCATGAAAGTACTTAACCCTCATACCAACTCTGTCTCTTCTCTTCCTCCATTTCCAAACACAATCTTTGGTTTCAATCAAACCACACCACTCGGTCTAAACCAACTCACACCTTACCAAATCCACCAGATCCAAAACCAGCTTAACCGGACACTCTCTCCAAAGCCAGTGCCAATGAAGAAGAACATAACCACTCAGAAACTCTACAGAGGAGTTAGGCAAAGACACTGGGGAAAATGGGTCGCTGAGATCCGTTTGCCCAAGAACCGGACCCGACTCTGGCTTGGAACTTTCGACACAGCTGAAGAAGCAGCCTTGGCTTATGACCAAGCTGCTTACAAGCTCCGTGGCGACCTCGCGAGGCTTAATTTTCCAAACATGAGGCAAAGCTTCAAGCCTCTTCATCACTCTGTTGAAGCAAAGCTCGAAAAGATTTGTCAGAGCTTGGCGAAAACAGAGGAGGAGGATGATCTCCCCTGTTCTGAAACAGAGCTCTTCCTCCCGCCAAAAACAGAGTATCAAGAAAACACGTTTTCAGATGAGTCTCAGGTGGGATCTTCGTCGTCTCCGGAGTCTGGTGTTACCACTGCGTTCATGGATTTTTCGGATTTAGGGTTTGATGAGACTGGGAGTTTCGTGCTGGAGAAGTTTCCTTCTGTGGAGATTGATTGGGATGCGATTAGCAAACTGTCTGAATCTTAAATGATGTTTCGTATTAGTTAGTTTGATTTAATCTCTGCAACTGAGTTTTTATACAGTTTGTAGAGAATAGTCTAAGGTTGTCTATGATGAAATCATCCTCTGTGTGTTTGGTCTGGCTGGTTCATGTGTTTTTTTTTTCATAAACTTTGTCATTAGCCAACCACCAGAGGAGTTTATGTGTATTAACATCTCTAAGTTTCTTTGATAAAAAAAAAACATCTTTAAGTTTCTAATGAATGTAAAGTATTAGTCTCTTTATTTTACGATTTTATGTTTCATTTTTTTTTCTTTTTGCTAAGTTGCTTCTATTTCAGTTTTGGGCATTATAAAAAAGGTTTGCATGCTGTTAAAGTATATTATGCATATAAGGGCCACAGAGGGGTCTCCATGGGATTACATAAGCCACTAAGTTTGATTCTTCAGGGTAAACAACAAGCCTACCATAACCACCAAATGTGGCAAAGAGTAAAATTAATTGATGTGTATATATATAGCTAATTTTTTTAAAAGTATGTATGTTGCCAGTATAATAATATGTGTACAGAGAGGAATGAACAAAGCAGCCTTATCCAAAATATTCTGATTCTTTTCTTTCAGCACATAAAGACAGTGTTCATACGGCCAAAAAATTATCCACAGGCGCATATTATGTGATCTCTTGTTAAAGTAGCTTCATCTCAAACAAGACCCATATAACAACGTTGTGATGATGTCTTGCGTTCTTACACAAAGCAACAGCGATGCTCATTGTATTGTAATGGCGTATTTGTTCAACAGAGAAAGCATTTTATCTACAGTCTTTCATGTTTCTTTTAAAAACAGCAAGAGTAATAGAGGACCAACCCAAAGAGTGAGAATAACTTATTTTATCTAATAACATTATACATTTTTTATTAATGTATGTAAACTTATTTTCATGATACATATGCATCGTTTCTAATATTTTAATAACTAATTTAATAAAACTTCATATTCCACCTAATTATGTGAATTAATCGTGTAACATATATAATTTCTAAGAAACAAGGATAAATAAGGTCTCAGAACTCTTTAATTTTCATCACATGTCATCACATGTCATTGCATGATGAAATTATGTATTAAAACAAAATACCATATTTTCTAATTCATCTTACGAAAAGTTCGATTTGTTTTTCCAATAAATGTTATATTTTATATATTATTGACATTATCAAAAAATTACAAGAATACAAGTGATATTGACTTTTAACAAGTTTATATCTTGAATGAAAATATTGGTGATAAGTCTCAAATTATAGATGAGACTACTGAGGTTAGTAAGATGTGTTTAATTCTATTTTTTTTTAGCTTTTAATATTTTCTCAACTTTCAACCTTTTAATGGTCATATATTATAAATTAATTATAGATACTGCTAGAAGGTTTTCTACATAATAGTAAATATTTGAGCCTTTTCATTTAAAATAATGTAAGTTTTATAAGCACGGTCTCTATAATAATATTTGAGAAGTCAGTTTTCTATGTACGTTAACTCTTAAAGTGATCAATTACAATAATATCCTTAATGAATTAACAATATTATATATAATTCCATTATTATAATTTTCTACTTTTATTTTTCTGTTTGTTTCATTATTTTTTGCTTTTAGTTTCCTTTTTATCAGAATGTTTTCTTAAACTACTAATATATGGAACTTATATATATATATATATATATTATATATATATATAAATAAATTTTAGTTTGAAGATTTTATTAATTACTAATAATGAATATAGTTTAACGAAAAGTAATTTTTTTAAATATTTTACCTTAAATTATATAATAAATACTAAAAGAAAACAACCAAAATATTTTACCATTCATAAGTGTTTTCCGTTCACTCTAGAATGTAATATAGTGTTTTGTGTTTGTTATTGCAAGTGCATTAGAGAGACTGGTAGACTTTTATGGAGATAAGTTTCCACTCTTTATTCGTTGGGTGATGATTCCTTATTCTTCATCAAAGATAACTTCTTGCGGTCATATGAACTCTCAATGAATAAAGAGTGGAAACTTATCCCTCTACAACGTCCTGCTGTTTTAAACCAGAGTCCAAGGACTTTGTCTTGCAGCCACAAAGACAATGCAGCTCTCATCTTCTCAGACATTGATGGTGGTTAGTATGAGTTGGACATCATACCGAAATATGGCACTGGAATTGTGTGAGATGTTAAGAAGGGAAATGCTCGTTCTGAAATTTCATAGCCAAAGGTTTGTTTGCTGTTCTTGCAAAAAACACCAATGAAGTGTCAGTCATGGATCTTAACAACAAGGTGGTCTATATAAGAACTCTGCCAATGCTTGCTGATGTTATATTTTATGACGGGACTGGAATTCTGCTTTGCAGATCTGCTGTTAAACTGTTTATTTTTTACCTAAGAAATTTTTTGTTTTTGCTCAACTTGAGACTCCCAACGTTGTTAGGTACTTGTTTGGTCCAATGATAAGGGGTACTTGTTTTGCTCAGCAAAGATACGTTCATCATGGCTAGTAAGAAGCTTGTCCACCAGTTCACATTTTGTGAGACAACACACATGAAAAGTAGAGATTTTAATGATAATGGTTTCTTCTACACAACTGATACCCCTAATATGTCATTTGTTTTCTAGTTCTAGGATTTAGTGTTTCGTTAGATTATGCTTGTGTTTCAGATCTGACACTAGATTAGTAGTAATTTTGTAGATCAATGAGACCGCACTATAACCGCACATGCATCATTTGAAAACATTTGTGTATAAGTAATGACTGAATTCAACTGTGCTTATATAATATACAAAGGTTGGTTCGCGCTTCACACAAAATGTTTGCTTTGATTGGTGTCGAGGCTAAACTATTTGTGTGGTTTAGTTTGTCAGATAAGTTGTTTGTGTGAAACTACATGTCCTCGGATGACTTATATATCATTGTCCTTTTAAGGTTATGATGCTCGATGCACTTTAAAAATTTGTGTCTACCAACTGCTAGATTTGATTGAATGTGTTGATTGGTTTGGTGGAAGTTATTTGAATTAGTTCTTTTCATATTTATATATATGCATGTTTCCTTTTCTTACTTGTGAGTTATTAGACAATGGTGTGATAATTGTGACTATGTGTTATTGGCTTGAAATTATATTTTGGATATATGATTTTTATTGTATGTAATTTGAATTTCATTAATAATGGAGGTGACAATGAACATGAACTTTTAATTTGAATTTCATGTACTTCCATATATTTATTGTTTGATTATTTTTAAGCGAATCACTTAATCTTTCTCGATGGAACGTGTTGACTTACTTAATTATGGAACAGTCAAACATAGTCCTAGTTCTAGGGGTTTAGTGTTTCATTAGATTATGTTTGTGTCTCACCTTAGTGCTGGTTTGGTTGAATTTTTTAGATATTTTAGTTTATAAATCGAAAATCCAAATAAATTTAAATATTTTAGATATATATTATTTTGATGATTCAACTCTATTGGGTAATTAAAATAATATTAAAACATTTCTGATAAAATAACATTTGGGTAATTCATTTTTTCGTGTATTTGAGTTAATAAGTAGTGTTCTAAAAATATTTGGTAATTTAAACTAATCTATAATAATAATTTTAGGTACATAAACTATACTTGAGGAACCCATTTGGTTTTCGGTTTGATTCTGTTTTTCATTTTTTCTATTTTAATAATATATGAACCGTTCGGTTATTTATAAAATTCGTTGGAAGGTTCAGTATGGTTTAGGTAACAATGTTATGAATGGACTAATATCCGATAAAATACTGTATCCAATTAGGTTTCAAGATTTTGGATAATTTCTGATAATTTGGATAATAAATGATTTTTTTTGTTATTTTGGTTAAATATCGGGAAATTCTGGTAAATTTGGAGATGAATTATTTGGGTGATTCGGTTCTTTCGGTAATTAGGATAATTATAATAGATGTTGGATTAAAATATTAGGGTCTCTTTTTCTGGTACTGAGTGTTTAAGTAGTGTTTTAAAAATATTTAGTAATTTTAAAACTAAAAATATTTGGTGCTTTTCTTGGTTTGGATGTGGTGTGGGGTTTTCGATTCCATAGGTATATGCATTGTTTGGTTATTTGGTGAAATCAATTTAA